AAATGCTCTTTTATAAGAATAATATATCATAGACCAGCTCAGTATGAAGAACTGTCGAGTAAGAGCAACAAATAGTTTTTCCATTGAAAATGGAGAGATTTTAGGAGAATCTACCAACTATTCTTGGACAGTTTTGTTAAAAACTTTACTTTTCCATTTCTTTTTTGAAGAGAATTACACAGGTCGTCAGCGATTGGTTGGCTACTGGGGACAAAATGGCGCTGGTCCGGCTCATGGTCCTGCCAATTACGAAAAAACGCTGGCAGAGACATGCAGAACAACCAAATATGATATCCTAGCTGTGTCGTTCGTTATTGCTTTCTGGGACTTACGTGATAAAGGTATGTATGGGCTTGAATTGTTTCTTAGCCTTTGGAAGATCGTTATAAAGAACTGTATGGAAATATCTGCAGAAAGATGCAGAAAGATACTGTAAGGTCCTTGTGATTGCGTTTTGCCATTGAAAATTTAAAAAAGGTCAGGCGGGTCTGATTCATGCTTTTTCTTTGCAAATGGTCGACGGGCATCCCTTGCGATACTTTTTTGGATATTTTTGAAAACAAAAATATAAATATGATTAAAAACTTTCTCTTTGTTTTCTCTTTATGTTCTATGAATGAAGATATTGTTAGATTTGATCTTAAAACCGACGGATGGAAACGGATTGCGAGTGGATATTTGAAGTCACCCCATTTTCGCCTTAATGAGCGATTTAAAACACGACCGCACTGAATGCCGGTTAACTATGTTCCTTTAAACCCACGAGTAAGAATAATCTACTTCCAATCCATGTTCAACCAGTACTAAAATTCTATTTTTTATCCTCTAGATCACCTTCCTGCTCTAAACTTTGCCTTCCACTGCGAGACACCCATCTCTCAGGACCACCCCTTCCTTCTTCGCTGTCCAGAGATAGAGAAAGGAATCAAGGAGTGCCAGAAGCTTGGCAAGAAGGTTATCATGTCCGTGGGGGGAGCCACTGGAGATGGAACGTTGCCTTCACCAGATAAAGCTCGTGAGCTGGCGAACACCTTTTACGACTTGTTCCTCGGTGGTAAAAGATATGATGGAACGTTATTACTGAGACCTTTTGGAAGGTAATGGTGTTAGATTAGACAAACTTTGAATGTAATGTGATAATGAAAAAGACTTTCCCAAAATCTGTTTTTCCTTGTTTGCTCGCTTATTTTTCGACTGAAAACCGTCAGCATTACGGATATGTGATCTATTTGGCAAAATTAAAGAACTTTTTAGATTAAATTTCAGACAGTTTTAGACGGCGGAAAAATGGATTACCAGTGAAGAACGTACAATGTCATAACCACTGCAAGATGTACATCTTAATCGTACATTAATCTAAATCTCTCTTCTTTGATTTTATCACAGTGCTGTAATGGATGGTATTGATCTGGACATTGAAGGTGGTCGCGGGGATCATTATCATCACTTTATCAGAGAAATGAGAAGGCTTATGGATGCTGACCAAAGCAAAGTTTACCTTCTAACGGGCGCACCTCAATGTCCTTACCCTGATCACTACTTGGGGCCTGGGGGCCAGTCAGGTAATGCATCAAACACCGCTGGTCTATCATGTCTATCGTCTGCGCATGAGCAAAGCCAAGCAATTATGAATGAGGATATTCATAGATTTTACTTGAATTTTTTTATAAGTTCCTTGCCTTGTTTATATAAATCTAATTTACACATAATAACCTTCAAAACACATATATCCTCTTAAAGCGACATTATTCAGTTTTTTTTGGTATAGATGATAGTATGATCTCTTTATTCTCCCCCATAAGTAAAATYTTAGTAAAATAACGCTATCCTCAGTCACGCAATAACATTTTGGTAACGCTACACTCAGTCATGCAATAACATTTTAGTAAAGTCATACTCAGTCACGCAAAATCAACACTTTAATAAATCTTGCAGGTCTTGAGCTCGCTGGTGAGCTAATGGATCACTTATACATCCAGTTCTACAACAACTACTGCCATACTGGAGCCGGAAATTGGTTTGACTCGACGCTCAAACAATGGCTTGATTTCTCAAAGTCACGCAAACCACGTGGTCCTCTAATATTCATTGGMATGCCAGCACATGAGAAGGGCGCAAGTGGAGCCCAGTACTTCCGYCCTCCTRRTGAACTACAAGCCCTATACAAAGTAAGTCTGTACCCCTTAGTTCTTASTTAGAGCYTTTCTCCCCTCAATTAAAACTCTGAACTGAACCATTTGCTACCGACACTAATTCARTAATTTCGTAAACAGAAAGTCCGCGATTTGCCGATGGTTGGTGGAATTATGTTGTGGGACGTGTCCTGGGATCAGAACAAAGTGATTGGCGGGAAACGMTACTCGGAATACGCCTTTGCACTCCTAAAAGGATCGACTGTTGGCCCACCACCTGTCACGTCACCTCCAGTAACACAACCACCTGTCACACAACCACCAGTCACACAACCACCTGTCACGCAACCACCAGTCACGCAACCACCTGTCACGCAACCTCCTGTCACGCAATCTCCTACAGGTAAGGTCACTGTGAAGAATGTCAGCCATTAGTGATTATTGTGCAATCTATATGTATGTTGTATCTGTTCTCAGGCCCGTTTTCATGCAGTGGTAAGCCAGATGGTCATTACGCTGACCCAGCCGACTGTAACACATACTACCAGTGTCAYGGTGGTTCCAAATACACTTTCAAGTGCCCGCCTGGTCTAAAATTTAACAGTACAACCAAAAGCTGTGATTGGCCACAAAATGTCACGTGCTAATAGTAGCCAATCCAACATTTACACGTGCTTAAAGTAGCCAATCAGACGTAATCACGTGATAAAATTAGCCAATCACTGTATAGAATTGTAAATGTTGTTCACATATTTKTAGTGAATAAACTTTAGAGAGCAAAACCTTTGGGAATTAATGTCTTTAATAGCTGCCATAATTTCTCTGGTTAGCGAAAAATTGAAATGTGAAAACTATTTTTCCTTTCCTGACGCCGTATTTTGAATGGTWACTAACTCCTTGCATTAACGTGAGACAGTGGTACATACCACTGCAGGCTCAACTGCTGTCTCGYTTTGAATCTAAGGCTCGGTTACCTTTCAAGTTTCAAGATGGCGCTGGGAACGGTAATATGAGGCATTGTCTTTAGGTCTAACACTGCACGCTCTCCGGTTCGCTCTCCGACTCGCGTCCATACTAAGGCAGAGCAGTTGTTCAAATTGACGCAGAAAAAGCAGTGTTATTTTAGGCTAAAATCCTGCTATCTCCGTTCGTTATTTGTCTTTAATGCAGATCTATTGGTCCTTTCTAGGTCCTTTCTCGTGTTCACAAGCTGGCGATGGTTTTCATGTGAATCCAGCCGACTGCTCAAAGTTCATCCAGTGTGCGGGAGGAAGGCGATACGATTTTTCGTGCCCTGGGGGACTTAAATTTAACAAAAACACAAAAAGTTGTGACTGGCCGTCAAATGTACAATGTTGACAGCAGAAAGCTATAAATGTGCACTTTTATTGAATGTTAATAAATTTATTAAATTGACGAAAGACTGAGTCTGATACGCCTTAGTAAGCTGCGGTCTCCAATTCTTTCTTCTTTTTATATTTTCTTTTCTTTTTCTTTTTTCTTCTTTTTATATTCTTAATTATTGCTCCTCGTTCACTTTTTTTTTAATCTTGACACAGAGTATTTTTAATAAATAACTTTATATTCATCGAGCAACAATCACTATCCATTACAAATGACTATCACCTTCCATCCATCCATTTTTCATTTATTTACATTCTTTGATTTTTCCGTTTTTTATCTGATTATTTTCTCCATTTCCACGCTTTAAGGCAAACAACTAAATCGCTTTCGCTCCTAAATACATAATGACTTTCTTTTGGTACTGTTAAAATTACCTTATCAAATGACTAACAAAYATCCCCGAAGCTTCTCAAACACCCTCGGGAAATGCGGCRMTATTCGAGAAAGAAACTCRAGAGATCGGATTTTTTTTAAGCGCTTCTTTTTGATTAAATAGAGCGACCCGCAGGGGCTTGTAGCAAGGCAATCGCTGTTTGCCAATCGAAGGGTTTAAACAAGTTATCTATGTTTTRAGCTGAGAAGAGAGCCAGTGAATCGCAAGTGGCCGTATATAAGCCTTTTATGTGCAAATATTTGGAGCCATGATGTGAATTGTTAATTAATAGTCTTGATAAAGTATACAATTTAAAAATGGCGCGAAATTATGCCTCAAAATAAAATAAACAAAATCATCTCCAGAAATGTCACAAATTTATTAAGGTAGAGAGCAAAGAGATACAAGTTTAACGTATGGATTGTACAATATAAAGACGGGCTACAGTGATATGCATTTATATAAGACAATACCTAGGTATAAAGAGATACAAGTTTAATGTATGGATTGTACAATATAAAGAGCCTACAGTGATATGCATTTATATAAGACAATACATCAGAATGGCATGAAAAAAAATCACATGAAAACAGTTGCTACAAATTCCTTAAAGATGAAATCAAGGAAAACCAAATCTACTGCTAATTGGGCTATATATATGCATGCAAAAGTTGTAGAAAACAACTTGTAAAAGTTTGTTTTTAAAGTACAGTGTTCACAACATTGTATGACGATCCGTTGTTTGTTGTTCGTCTTCTAGAACTGATCAATCCATCCGTGAAAGACTGACACGATCTCTTCCTTTGTCTACGATCATGAGAACACTTTGTAATTAAATAATACAACGAGTATCGAAAAGACTGCATTCTGAAAACATAAATAATTGGATTGACAAGGGAATTTGCATTAGCAATAGCAATAGCTGCATAGATGATGTTCAAAGACAGCAAATCGCCGCCCTTAAAGTTGATTAYTTGGACGACAGAGAAAGGCACCCAACACAACAGAGAGATAGCCGCTACTATAAACAATGTCACTGCTAGTTCTTTTTCTCTCTGGAACGGAGCACGCGCTTTGGTGTTTTGCTGTCTTGTGTTGTGAAGCTTGACGGAGACATACACGCCRATGTACGCACTGCAAATTATTACTAGTGACAGCARTAAACATGGCATCCATAAATACAATGAGACTTCAAGGTTTGYGTACAAAAAACTGCAGATCCAAACGGCTGCGACAACAGCAGCAAGCATCCAAGTAATTCCTACTCCAAAAACGTACATTAAAGAGCTCGTTGTGCGGTGGCGCAGAGGGAAAACRGTAGCCAATACTCGCTCTAACGATATCAAGACAAGCGCAAAGAGCGACGCCATTCCGGTAAAAAGGTAGACAGTGTTTTGAATGATGAAAAGCTCGTATGGGAATGGCACCATTTCCCCCCAGAATGAGTAAAATAACCCAAGCAAATAWACATTCARAGGAATAGASACKGCACCAACGAAGACGTCCGCTACAGCCAAGTTTACAATGCCATAAGTACTCCTCTTCCGAAGGTGMGAGTTGATCATAAAAGTCACAATAGTTAAAAAGTTCAAAACAGTGATCAACAGACCTTGAAGCGCTAAGAATGAGCACCAGAAAACCCCAATCTTGTTTTCAGGGAGATAYGACTCAAGGACTCCATAACCAGATGTAGTGTTATTGGCGTCGAGCATTTTTTTGGGGAGAATTTCCTTGAGGAGGCTGCTGAGTACGCTACGGTGTTGCTGAMGAAATGTTTCCTCTGGGCGAGAGAGAATTACCTTGACAGATATTCAATCACTCGAGGGCGGATGATATGAAACATGGTAATTAAATAAAAATCACCTGTCGYGAAAGCCTGAAGCTCATTTTAGATATTAACTGTTTTTAGATATTATCAAGTATAAGTTTACAACGCCGGCTCTTGTRGAAATATACTCGGGGTATAGATTTCAAGTGCTGAATATGGACCAAATGTATCGGTTCGGTTGTTTTAATGGAAAGACTATCAATTCATCTAATTTAAGCAGGGAAAAGCGTATATCAGCATGTGTTTTGCCCACTGAAAAAGGCAAGCACCGTGGTCCATTTAATGAAGGAACAACTCATGGTTTGAACAAGGCAGATGTTGTCTACATTCGTCCATTGATTGGCTAATTGTAAGCTCAATTTAAAACTATTACGGAAACACAAGCGATATATATGCAACTATTTCTTCGAGGTTGTACAAAAAAACGAGAATGCTTTGTGTAATAAAATTATTTGGAAAAACAACAGTCATAGCCACCACTAATGCTGAAATAACAACTCTCCTATAGTCACTTGATGAAAAAGCTGATTTTTTATCGTTCAACACGAGGAGTGCTAATACAAACTTTAAGAGTGCACATCAAGACTGTATTATCACCTATTAAAGTAACTAAATAAGCATTTAACATTGTTCTATTATAACTTTTACAATTCTAGTAATTCGAGACAGAAAATATAATTCAGTTTGAATTATTATCTTTTTTTTTTTTCAAAAAAAAACTTTTTTTAATTATGTTTAAACTTCAATGCCAAGAACTCTGTGATCCAAAAACACACGTGGAGAGATAAATTCAAAATATATGAATTTGTGTCTGTAATTAAAGTAAAGGAAAGATAGAAACAGTTGCGCAATAAAACAGGTTTATTATATATAAAGTTAGTATTTGCATTTAAAAAATAAAGTCAGTAGCAATGTAAAAAAAAAACAAAGATCTCGAGTTACAAAAATGACTGCTTAGTATTGATATTAAAAGCGAGTAATCCTTTTCGATAAGTTTACGTGTTTTTAAAGTTTTAAAAACCCTCSTCTTAAATCACTTAAAGAACCTCTTGTTTCTACTCGTAAGCCTTTTTGTCAGCGAAAGGATTTGAAGTCATTTAAGTGATTAAAAAGATTGTCATTAAAACAGAGATCTAGTGCATTCGATATTTTTAATTTAAATTGCAAGTATTCAAAAGGTTGCTTTTAGGGGAAAACTTATTTATTGGACCCAATCTGAGTTTATAGGAAAATACCTATTGATTTTAATTAAAATGATTACTCAACATTTAATGCAAAGGTGCAAGACTTTTCAATTCATATTAYGTTTAAAAGCTTCATTTAATTAAAAGCTTTGCTTTTATTACTAAGATGTAAACTATTTTTGTCAACAAAAAGGTGTGCATGTGAAAAAACATTACCATTAATGACAGGAATATGGCAATTGAAATAATATCATTACAAAATCCTACTGATTTATTTTGCTTTTATCTTCTTCCTTTTCTCGTAATTTTGAAAATAAACATTTTGCAAATTTATCAAGTATCTTTATGTTGAATTACATTAGAGTCGATTCACAGAACATACTCCGCAGGAAGAACAAAAAAAAATAGATACAAATGAGAAAGAATGGTTGGAAAATTTAAAGAATAAATTTGAATTTGTAGAGTTAGGATTCTTAATGCCGTTCAAGCTGACGATTTGGCGGCAATTTTTGCGGAGATTTTTTCAATCCAGTTTCAAAAGTATCATAGATTTTATCTTATCCTTGTGAAGAGACGCTTAGTTTGCTCATCGTAGTGTACAGAATGAAACTTTATAAGTTAATTCTTTAACGTTATTCTCTATTATCAAAATGACCGCAAAAATCACCGTAAAAATCGCCATTATGAACGCGATTTTAGGTCACATTTTATTAATATAGAACTAGGACAACAATCATCTTTTGGCGATAAACATATAAAATAAATAAAGAAAAAAACTGAAGAACCAAAATAAAATGAAAAATGAATGGACAATTGGTTGATAAGAAAAAAASAGAAATGAGCGATTGAAGAAATAAAAGACAACAAGAAGCAAGAGAGKGATAAAAATCATCAAAAATATTAACCRGRCTCTATATCTTAATTTRGAATTCGCTGAACGTCGCGTACACATTTGATTCACTATCGGAAAAAAATATGTTTACAAAGTATAATTCTCTCGCACGCAAAAGTGTCATTAGTAAAATCATGATTTGCTTCCCGTTTGAGGAACTATTTTTGAAAACATTTGTAACAAAATATAACGATGCTAATACAAGGTAAACCAACAGAANCTATACCAATTGTATTTTAAGAAAATTATGTGGATAGGACTTGGTGACAGGATGTTACACTTGTCATCTCCATTCCGGTTCATGGAAGTACTAATAGTGGCTAATAGTCTCCTTCACGGTCCCCTGCGCCATCTTGAAAGGTAGCCTTTACATCGAAGCGAGACAATCGATGATGCAATGATAGATACCTGTGAATGATTGTCTGTAGGTGTGAAAGAAGGTTTCTATCATTGCATACTCAACGGTCGTCTCGCTTCGATGCCAAGGCACGGCTACTTTTCAAGATGGTGCAGGTAACCGTGAAGAAGACTATTCTAAAATTGTTTTAATAATTCTCTTCCTAGTATTTGGGGACACAATGGGTCATCTTGAACGGTCTAAACGTGCTGCAAATGCTCAAAACAAGGCAAGCCTGCAAAAAGAGCCAAACCTGAAAAGGCTGTTTCAAGAGTGTCCACCGTCGCGCTGCTAACACTTATCAAGCTCATAACGAATTTCATTATCATGTTAAACACACTAGCACAGCCAATATGGATAAAAATATTGTACGAGCCCGAAAAAAATCAGCCTTGAAATACGAAMGAAATGAATAAAAATGAAACTTACTGTATTACCTATTAAAAGATATTATTTTAGTTAAGCTACTAAGCTATCTTAGGCTCATGTTATTTGTTTTACATTTTGTTTTGCAATTATTTATGTTCTAGTATTATTTATATTAGCATTTTTATCGAGTTTTTTTATCTGTTGCCCCTAGGTGGTAGAAGTTATTGTTATTTGAGTTCACTTAAAATTGTCAAAAATAAATAAATAAAATACGAAAAAGAATCAAGTATAGTTCGAAAAAAATATAACGCGCTTTTTTTTTGTTATTCCTCGCGCAAGAAATAAAACTAGCAAAGATCAAATTATAATTTTGCTCTAACTAATAAAAGATTGAAATCCATCCAAAGATGACGTCACCACAAAGGCCTTCCCTGATTGGTTATTGCTGGTTAAATATGTCATACCAGAACTGTAAATTTTATGCGTAAGTGTCTCAAAGCAAACGATCAAATCAGCTCAAGAAACTACTGTTGTTGTTCAGAAATCATTTGGTGATCAAGCGAATCAAGCGATGAGAGTAAAGCAAGTCGTTCTTGTTTGTTTTCTTACGCTGACATTGGTCGCATTGGTCAACACTATTTCCGGTAATATTCCTCATGGTAGACTAAAAAAGAAAACAGGTACGTGCCAATTCCATTATCACGGAATTGATTTGTTTTCTAAAATCCGTCCACTAGGCACTGGAAAAAATCGCGCGCTTTAAAGGTTGTAAATTTGATGTATATATGATGTAAKTGTCCAAAATGATGKAAATTTGATGTAAATCATTTCCATCAAATTTCCATCATTTTGGACACTTACATCATATTTCCATCAAATTTACAACCTTTATGGCGCGCGATTTTTTCCAGTATCTTAAAACTTAACTTATTTGGTCAAATGTGGTGCCGTCACCACACAGACTTCTCCGAGTGGCTCTGCATTTAACATATTTGAAAGACAATCTRARRTTGTTAACTRAACAGTTGATTCAAATTGYACTTGCAGTAGAAAACAAGTAAATCAGGCAATGGSAGTTCTAAAGCAGCTCGTTCTTGCTTGCTTTCTTCTTTTCATTGTTCGTGAAGCTAGTTCCCATGATTTAAAGAAGGCGGTCGAATGGAATGGCGGCTTGCATTTTAGTAAATTAGACCATAATCATCATAAACATCGACTTTAATTTAAACACGTATACTAATAGAAAGCACAACCTGAGATTGTACAAACTATAAGGGTGTTGAATTTGTTTTTTGTTGTCTCAAATTAAAGACGGTCTAAGCGACAAGAAGCAAATTAAATCGATATCTTCTGTTTTTAGGGCCGATTGAAAAACGGAATCTTCATAAACGTGACATCATGTCTCGTGAAACACAAGATTTGGCGAACGACAACCAAGCCCTGAATCGTGGTTGTCCAGCATGCTAGTACCTCCACGTACATGCATGAACAACAACCTTAAAATCTACTGGATTCAACTTAAAATTTGAAACTAAGAGCATCATTATTTCAAATGGAAATATTAATTATAAAGGATCATATAAACTTACTCAGTCTGTTTTATTTTTCACTTTCTCCAAACAAACTAAACTGATACAGCAAATACGTTGCGCACAATAAAAGCTTTTGTAAGTAGGGCTGTGTATATTATAAACGACAAACATTATAGTCTTCCGGCTATAGTCTTGGAGTAGAGCGGATTTCGTATGACTGTGCAAAAAAATACGGTACGCTCGTGCTGTGTCCGTACCGTGCCGTAGCCGTGATGCACTGGAAAAACCTTTANGGCGCCAGTTGACGTCACGAAAATATATGACGTCACATTAATAACTGGAGTTGGGAAACAAAATTTACTTAATGTTAGAGCTCAGATAGATTGGTTTAGTCTTGAGATACATTTATTTTTTATTTGTTTTGTTTTTCATTGAATGCTTTCTTTAGCAACACTAGCAWGCAGGGTATAAATGTTACCACCTGTACCTGCCATTTATCAAGCGATACGTAATAAGCGATACAGATAAATGATTTATCATCCCAAGGCTGTTGTAAAACATATAGTGAACTGAAGAGGTTTTAATAAACGAAACTAGTTTTCACTATTCTTGGTAGTCCCTGGCCTGTACGTACGAAAATCATTATGTTGGAGTGATTTACATTTGTAAAGTTTATGGCCATCCCAAGGCAATTATACTACTGATAGATGAAAAATAAAAATTAAAAATAAGTGGAGAGAAGAGGCCGAGAAAAAACTACATGCTTGCTTATCATCTTCTCATCTTGTAATTGAAAAAAAAAAGCAAAATAAAACTCCTGATAAACAAATTCCATCGCAGCTGTCTATATCCTTTGGAAAAACATTTCCTTTGRTGCTTTAGGCAATCTTCAGGTAGCAATTTATCAACAGTTCTTAAAAACATTGAATAAAGGCGTAATTAGACAAAATGATACAGGGATGTCTAAAGGTTTTCAATCGCCTTCAGCAGGACAATAATTAAAAATTGCATTACAGCTTTCTCGTTTTAAACTCTGCTTCAATTTATCAATCATTATTAAACATTTTAAAGCGTTGATTTACCATCTTGAAAAGGTTGTCAAGAGGCCTTTTAAAAGGGTTTTCCGATAAGCAGATATTTTGAGATTGTGAAACTATTTTGCGGAGAAAATGAGACGAAGTAAAGAGGAAAATAAAAAAATACAAAGTCGAAGTGAAAAACAGCTTAAAAAGCGACGACCAAAGCAAAAAAAACACACGCAAAAGCAAATGAACTTGAAAAGACAACAAATACTTTTAATATTAAAATATGAAACAGGCAAAATAAAAAAAACATGAAATTTAAAAAGAAATCCAGCGTACATAAATGGATACAAATGAAACGAACAATACAATGGCAAAAGACCACTTAGCCATCCATTTTGCCTCTTTGAATGACTTAGAAACCAAGGATAACATTTTTCCGCGGCTATATGGAATAAATTCATAAATTCACCGGAAACCCTTAATATCAGAAATCTTAATTGCAAGAGTGAGAATTACAGAAATTTTTGTCAGGTGACATGAAATCAGTTCTTGTTTGATAAAGTATCGACGTTTTTCTAAAAATGCTTTAAATATCATTTTCTAAGTTTATTTATTTATCTATTCATTCTAATATTTTTTTCATTCAGCCCATTCATTACAGGAATAATTCATTCATTACTTTACTTATTCGTCGATTTTTTTTTTCCTATATTTGATTTTCTGTTTTACTTTCTCTATGCATAAAGTTTCAGAATAACAGATGTGCCTGAAAGCCTGTAGTTTTTACTTACAAATACATCATTTCATTACCTAGTCCTTAGATAATCTCAAAAACCCATAAAACAAGCTTATTGACTTTCGTTCTTAACTTAAAAGATTAAAATAATGCTTAAGGAAGGTTGGGTATCTAAGGGAGATCATTTATGGCCGATATAGATTTCTCACATTAATGCTTGGAAGCTGAATCCCTGTAAGGTAAGACTTCCAAATATAGCTCTAATATTCTGTAAATAGGTGCTTCTTCCAAAGGCAGTCATTTGATAAAAACTTTTTCCACTTTTTGAATTTGCTATTATTTTATTTCAAAATCTTATACGTTTTTGTTGATAAATTTTTCACTAAAATTACCCACATCTACTCTTTCTTTTTATGTCTTCGTTTGTCACTCATTTCATCGAGTCTATTCTCGAGTTTCTTATGTAGCTGTGCTTTCCGTGTTGAATCAAGTTTCTTTTGCTTTCGAGGCGCAGGCTTACCCAGTCCTTTTCTGGCAAGTAACTTGGCCTGGTCGCCACAGCCGTGGACTTCAGGAATATGATGYGACAAGCAAAAAACTTTGTCACAACATTGACATTTCTGCCCAAGCAAAGAAATACACTGTTTACAAGATTCAAATGCACAACGAGTGTCCAGTCTTGTAAATTCGGCCAACATGGAGTCAAAGTCTTCGTCTCTTTGGTTTGTTTTTAAGGAATTTGAAGCATTTTTTTCTTGTTTCTTTTTCTTTGGTTTCTTCTTGCGTTCGTCTGAGCCGCTGGGTTTCTCCGTCAGTGGTTTTGCTTCAAATGCGCATGCGTGGTGCTGTTCGCATCGTAAAAGGTGTAATTCCATGTTGCATGTCGGGAGTTTTTTCTTGCAAATTTTGCAAGTGCTTAGTATATCATCGTCTTCTTCTTCTTCTGAAAAAAAAAACGATAGAAATTACACCGCGTTTGACTATCAAACAGCTCTAGTTAGTTGGTACCTTTTTCCCTTCTGACGTCATGCGATGTTCGGCGAGTTGCATTATGGGATTGACGAAAGCAAAAACTGAAGCCATTGCTAGTTTCTGCCTGTTTTGCGGAAGCAAACTTTACTTATACAATTCCCAGACTGCATTTGTATACTCTAGTTTGCAAAACTCTAATTTAATGTCCTTCAAAAGCCAAAAAGGCAACGGATAGCGTTCATTTCAACAAGTTCTTCGTAGTTTTCAGTGAAAAAATCCGCCATCTTGATACTTTTGTCATTCCCATGATGTATTAGGCCAAATCAGGTGTGACGTCATAGGGGAAAAACAATTGATTGACAAATAGCACAGGTTTCGACCCTACCTTTGTCAGGTCTTTTAGCTTGTTTCCTCACAACGATATACCTCAGMACGCCTTCACCTTTGCTTTCATGCTCCAGGTTTATTTCTTCAGCGATGGAATGCACAAAAAATCGCTCCTGCGAAGTCAGCTCAGCACTAAACACRAGCTCTGTATCTTCAGCCAATAGAAACGCACGAATTTCATCTTCTAGCTGCTCCTTTGTTAAAGCAACTCGAGTGGCCTGGGGACTACATTGAGAAACCGTGACGTCACTTCCGGAGCACCCAAWGTCAYTGKMACTTCCGGTGATGTTCAGGTTTCCATAGTGACTGTCATTTTGAGAACYGYAAGCYCGTRRTRGTTTAGTTTCAACGTTCAAATCATTGCAACCCTTAAATGTATTTCTATTAACAGCTTGATTTTYTAAAACCTTTTTACTGGAAAKTACTGTATTTYTATTTTCCTTTTTCRCCACTTTCTTAGTTGTCCCATCGTTGATATTTTTATTAAACTGATTAACGCTTTTACTTCCGYTAGTTCCCAGTYCTACATTTAGTGACAAGGCCGTGGAGTCTGGATCGAGAGATGTGACGTCACCAGTKATAATGTTTCCATGGAGATATTCCATCGCTGATCGTACCTCGCCATTTTCCCCCAAATATGTGATTAGTGACTTTAGAAATGGATGATGGCTGACGGTATCCGAATCGCACACTACTGCTAAATGCCGGCGAGCTCGAGTTATGGCGACGTTGATCCTTCGATCCTCCCCGAATCGCACACTACTGCTAAATGCCGGCGAGCTCGAGTTATGGCGACATTTATGTGACGCTCGTCCACACGGGAAATTATCGATATGTGACAATTACATAAAAACTAGCATGCCAGCTTTCCAGTAACTACAGTTGTCACATAAAATTTGTCCAATTTTGCTCATCTACCGCGGGCAATTAAAAATTGTGACATAAAAATTGCTCGTCTAGACGGGGCTTAATTCACAGGTCTGAAGTTCAAGACTCAGAGGAGCTGACATTTCATTAGATTTCTTTCTTTACCAAAAAATAAATAAATTCAATCAAATATAGAACAGGGAACCCGGTAACGGTAACTTAATGAAAAAATTAATAAAGAACAATGAGAATAAATAAATAGTTTTGAACACAAGTAACGCAGGCTCAAGTTTACAGGAAAGTGAGTGAGTGAGTGAGTGAGTGAGTGAGTGAGTGACAGATTCGTCCCCCTCCAATATCTCTTCGATTGCTTCGCAATCTTCGAGTTAAAAACATTGAATAAAGGCGTAATTAGACAAAATGATACAGGGACTGTCTAAAGGTTTTCAATCGCCTTCAGCAGGACAATAATTAAAAATTGCATTACAGCTTTCTCGTTTTAAACTCTGCTTCAATTCATCAATCATTATCAAACATTTTAAAGCGTTGATTTACCATCTTGAAAAGGTTATCAAGAGGCCTTTTAAAAGGCTTTTCCGATAAGCAGATATTTTGAGATTGTGAAACTATTTTGAGGAGAAAATGAGACGAAGTAAAGAGGAAAACAAAAAAATACAAAATCGAAGTGAAAAACAGCTTAAAAAGCGACGACCAAAGAAAAAAAACACACGCAAAAGCAAATGAACTTGAAAAGACAACAAATACTTTTAATATTAAAATATGAAACAGGCAAAATAAAAAAAAAACATGAAATTTAAAAAGAAATCCAGCGTGCATAAATGGATACAAATGAAACGAATAAAACAACGGTGAAAGACCACTTAGCCACCCATTTTGCCTCTTTGAATGACTTAGAAACCAAGGATAGCATTTCTCGGCGGCTATATGGAATAAATTCATAGAACCGGAAACTTAATATTAGAAATCTTAATTGCAAGAGTGAGAATTACAGAATTTTTTGTCAGGTGACATGAAATCAGTTCTTGTTTGATGAAGTATCAAGATGCTTTCCTAGAAATGCTTTAACTATTATTTTCTTTTTATCATTTTCTTTTTATTATTTTCTTTTATTATTTTTATTTATATTATTTTCTTATTATTCTTTTATTTTATTTTCATTCTAATATTTTTTCATTTTTTCATTCATCCCATTCATTACTTTACGTATTCGTCGGGTTTTTTTCCTTTATTTGAATTTCTGTTTTACTTTCTCTATGCATAAAGTTTCAGAATAACAGATGTGCCTGAAAGCCTGTAGTTTTTACTTACAAATACATCATTTCATTACCTAGTCCTTAGATAATCTCAAAAACCCATAAAACAAGCTTATTGACTTTCGTTCTTAACTTAACAGATTAAAATAAAGCTTAAGGAAGGTTGGGTATCTATGGCAGATCAATTTATGGCCGATACAGATTTCTCACATTAATGCTTGGAAGCTGAATCTATGTAAGGTAAGACTTCCAAATATAGCTCTAATATTCTGTAAATAGGTGCTTCTTACGAGGCAGTCATTTGATAAAAACTTTTTCCACTTTTTGAATTTGCTGTTTTGTATTTCAAATTTTATACGTTTTTGTTGAGAAATTTTTCACTAAAGTTACCCACATCTAATCTTTCTTTTTATGTCTTCGTTTGTCACTCATTTCATCGAGTCTATTCTCGAGTTTCTTATGTAGTTGTGCTTTCCGTGTTGAATCAAGTTTCTTTTGCTTTCGAGGCGCAGGCTTACCCAGTCCTTTTCTGGCAAGTAACTTGGCCTGGTCGCCACAGCCGTGGACTTCAGGAATATGATGNCTTCACCGAATAGACTACCCCAATTAGATATTAGATATCTATAAGTGTCTTCATAGTACGATGGTCTAAGAGGGTAGCTAAAGGTATGCTCTAGTGGGCGGCTACCCCCTCACTCCCTGGCCTTTTGGTTAAGACTAAGTTTTATGTTCACTCGGGATAGCGTGGAAGGGCCGAAATCTCTAACCGTAACGTAAGCCGATTCGCCGCCTCAGCTTCATAGAATGTCTCGGGGGAATCGTCCCATCTTTTTAGTCTTTTTATTTTCACTTATTTCTTATGTATTCAGGGGGGGTACATCTTCTCCTGAAGTGAAAGTTCTGAGTTCGAGTCCTGCTTCTGGAATTTCTCTTTTTTTCGCTTGTTTATTGTTTCTTTTTCATTTGTTTCTTGTTTGCTGTTCTTCTTTCTTTTTTTTCTTTTATCCTTTTCTTTGCTGTTGTTACTTCGTTTGTTTTCCTCTAAAGATTTTCTCTTTTCAACTTAAAAACATATCAAGGACTCGCAAGGAACGCCTGCTACAAGTGGATGGTTATAATTCGGTCACTCAACACGATGACATTGTGACGAGAGGCCCCATAAGGTCTTTCGTCACAATATGATTACCTTATGAATTATTAATGATTTTGATAAGAAGAAAATTTTTCTCTTACTTTAGGATTTCATTCAATAAAACTTCCTATTTATTACAAATTATTTTATGATCTGGCAAAAATTCCGTGACTTTGTTGCGTGACTGGTCTCTCATTACCGTGCCCAGGCCTATACGGCCGGCACGGTTATAAAATGCAAGCACAATTTTTTTCTGGGCACAGTAAGTTCCACGTAGTAGTTCTCGTCAATATTAACATTGTTGCTTTTATTTATTTTATTTTAGTTTTTGCGAGGATGGCTTGCATAGCAAATTAGACCATAACCATCATAAACACTGGAAAAATCGCGCGCTTAAAAGGTTGTAAATTTGATGTAAATATGATGTAAGTGTCCAAAATTCTGTAAATTTAGTGGAAATCATTTACATCAAATTTACAGAATAGACACATCATATTTACATCAAATTTACAACCTTTCAAGCGTGCAATTTTTTCCAGTGAAACATCGACTTTTAAACACGTATACCAATAGAAAACACAACCCAGACGAGATTGTACTACAATAAATGCGTTGAGTGACCCCTTTGTCACTTGTCTCAAATTAAAGACGGTGCWACAAGAAACAAATTAAATCGATATATTCCTTATCCTTTCAGAGYTTATTGAAAAACTGAAGATCCATAAAGGTGCCGCTATGTCTCTTGARACACAAGATTTGGCGAACGACAACCAAGCCCTAAAGCCCCGTCGCTGTCCATTTTGCTAGTACCCGCACGCGCACGCACAAGAACCTAAAACTATACTGGATTCAACGTAAAATTTGAAACTATAAGAGCATCATTAATTCATATGGAAATATCAATANTTTTGTTTTTCTTAGCTTTCTTTGCTGCCGCCGACTTCCATCAACTGTATTTCTGATGCAATTAGATTTTTGTCTTCTACAATAGAAAGTTAAAGCGGAAAATCACCTATAGCGAGAAACAATAAATGATTTCTTAATGGAGGAAAATGTGACTTTCTCATTTGAGGATATTGTACAAGATTTCCTTTTTGGTCGCAACCGATTTCAAAAGAAACTAGCTACCACTTATCTCAGAACTTTGTCGTAAAAACCGGATATATCCTTCAAAAATAATATGTTTACATCAAAATATAGTTTGCAATAAGGTCCTTTGTACTTCCAAAGAAAGATACAATCCAGCATTTCAGAAATCCAAAATTTTCTTGATTTTTTAAATTGCGGAATTGGTACAGCTAAATCAAAATATTTCCATTGATACTTTACTAAGTTTGAGTTCGACTAAAAACGAACACGAATTCACAGCCTTTTCTAAAGAAGTTGYTTGAATGAATGGCCGAATGAAGCACAACCGAAATGAACGACATGTATTTAAAATAAGAAATTGTCATCTATTTGAGACAGCAATTTGTCTTATATGAGGAAATCATTAATGGTAAACATGTCGTCAATTTAACTACAACAAACACTGACATTGTGCAATAAATACAAACTTAAGCGATAGTTATTGCTTTTTATAACTCGTGCAATCGTAAATGTTTTTTTTAAGTCGCCAAAAGTCTTCTTCACGGTTCCCTGCGCCATCTTGAAAGGTAGCCCACTTAGCCGTGCCTTTACATCAAAGCGAGACAACCGTTGAGCGTGCAATGATAGATACCTGTGAATAATTGTCTGTAGGTGTGAAAGAAGGTTTCTATCATTACACGCTCAACGGTTGTCTCATTTCGATGCCAAGGCACGGCTACCTTTCAAGATGGCGCAGGTGACCGTGAAGGAGACTATATTTCCGACAAACTTGGTTAAAATAGTTGTGGTACCTTGTTTATTTGAGCGAACAAGCGATATTATCACGGCTTCTTTCTCTCGTCCTTGAAAACCGTCCACTGATTTGATCTCAAGTGATGGGAAAACRTGAGAAAGCCTCTTTCGCAACAACTCGACCTGAAAACAGTGAGTCAAAGTTACTTCACAAGACAGACATATTTGTTGTAGGGTAAGTTCGCAACGTGACCCATGGGCTTCCTGTGTTAACAATGCAAAAAAAACTAGTTAAACCAGTAAGACAAACCTGTAAATTATAAGGAGCAATGACAGCAATATCTCGAGCATCAAGGCCAGCGTTAATCAACGCAGTGACATGCGTAGCGACTATATCAGCTTCTCCCTCGTTTCCCTTGGAGAGTTCATCTTCAACTTCGAGCTCCATGACGTCACATCCGGTCGTGTCAATCAATAAAAGAGGGATGGTTGTTTCTTCTGTTTCTTGGACGTTGGGGAGATCCTTCAGTAGATGATGCTGCACGGAGCTATCTGCTTTGAGTTGGTTGTTGTATAGCTGCTCTGAAGACCACTTCATTATTGATTCATGCATTCTGTAATGATTATATTGAAAGAGAAAACTTTACCACAATAATATCATAGGGCACTTTCGTCCCATGATAGTACTATAATGTAAATATGATCTTTTATCAACACGACGTCTTCTATGAATTGTAATACTCCAGTTTCGAGATCTTATTTGTGCAGCCTTAACCGTGTGTACAGGAAGACAATCAAAGTTTATACTTGATTGAAGCTAAGCTTGCACAAAAGGGAATTCGAAACTGGAGTATTTGAGGATTATTTCATTGGGCATAACAAAGTGGGAGGACAATATTTCCCAGCATGCTTTGTTGTAAAATATGACGTCACTACATATCTATTTACCTGTACTGTGTAGTGAGCATGCGCACAACCTTGTCATCATATTGCTTCACTACTCTTTCCATCAGAGTGACGTCTAAACCTTTTTTAGCTGCCTCAGGTGAGACTATTGTCGGTGGAAGCTGATGGTGATCACCTGATAATATGCATCTAAATCAAAAACGAAAATTGTCTCCTTCACGGTTCCCTGCATCTTGAAAGGTAGCCRTGCCTTTACATCGAAGYRAGACGACCGTTGAGCGTGCAATGATAGATACCTGTGAATAATTGTCTGTAGGTGTGAAATAATSTTTCTATCACTGCACGCTTAACGGTCGTCTCGCTTTGATGCACGGCTRCCTTTCAAGATGGCGCAGGGAACCGTGAAGAAGACTATTGAAGAGTGTGTCTTAATGAGGTATCCGTGAAGGAGGGACGTAAGTTACAGCAGAGCATCCGTCGTTATTATACGTAATAGCGAAACTTGCGTAACGTGAATCAGACGTCCAGCTCACCTTGGAGCCCTCAGTAATGGTATCCAGCAACTTGCTTCCAGAGCCTGAGCGGCCTCGTCGATGACAACCAAATCGAAATGATCCATGGGAAGGCGGCCTAGTGGACCATCATTCCCTGCGCTTGTGTTGGTTGCCAAGACAACTTCTGCACCAATCAGAACCTCTTTCATAGCTTTTTCTTCTCTCTGGCGTAATTCTTTTCGCAGTGTTTTGATTTCTTGTCTGAGATGCCGTCTCTCACTTGGTTCTTTGGACTTTCTTGATTTTGACTGATTTGAAAATAAAAAAAGAATATTAAGTCGATTTAATACTGATTTACTTTTTTCATTTACTTATCATGCATTCACTTACTCAGTCATTCATTTTTGCATGTTTTCATTTTTTATACCCACCAATGCCTTGTCAATATCCTTCCTAACATCTTGTATAATAGATGTTGAATCTGATGCTGTTAAGATGGCATCCAATGAATAATGCTGAATGGACGAAAGAAGTCTTGCTGGATGACCAAGCCTTACCACCTAAAAATAACCAAAAGCATTCGATGACTTCTCTCATCAATAAAACAATTCAAAAAATCAWGAAACCGTTTTGAAGGCTCCTCACTTGAAACCAAACAAACTCTGAACACTCAACAGAAACCTAGAAGCTTATTTTTAAATCTTTGGAGATTTGTTCGTGATTTTTCACAACAGCAGTTCAGTGGATGAGTGAATTTTGGTACTTTTGATTGACAGGAAGACTCACCCCAAGTGTCAGTTAAAGTCGAAGCAATTGATATCTTTTGTTTACCTTAGCTTTATTCTTGGCCAACTTCTCTACCAAATTATCCACAGCAATATTTGAAGGAGCACATGCTAGCACCTATAAATACATGTATTGTACCTATTAACTTTACACATAAAAAAACAATAATCAAAGTCTTCTATTNCATGTCGTCAATTTAACTACAACAAACACTGACATTGTGCAATAAATACAAACTTAAGCGATAGTTATTGCTTTTTATAACTCGTGCAATCGTAAATGTTTTTTTTAAGTCGCCAAAAGTCTTCTTCACGGTTCCCTGCGCCATCTTGAAAGGTAGCTGTGCCTTAACATCGAAGCGAGACAACCGTTGAGCGTGCAATGATAGATACCTGTGAATAATTGTCTGTAGGTGTGAAAGAAGGTTTCTATCATTACACGCTCAACGGTTGTCTCATTTCGATGCCAAGGCACGGCTACCTTTCAAGATGGCGCAGGTGACCGTGAAGGAGACTATATTTCCGACAAACTTGGTTAAAATAGTTGTGGTACCTTGTTTATTTGAGCGAACAAGCGATATTATCACGGCTTCTTTCTCTCGTCCTTGAAAACCGTCCACTGATTTGATCTCAAGTGATGGGAAAACRTGAGAAAGCCTCTTTCGCAACAACTCGACCTGAAAACAGTGAGTCAAAGTTACTTCACAAGACAGACATATTTGTTGTAGGGTAAGTTCGCAACGTGACCCATGGGCTTCCTGTGTTAACAATGCAAAAAAAACTAGTTAAACCAGTAAGACAAACCTGTAAATTATAAGGAGCAATGACAGCAATATCTCGAGCATCAAGGCCAGCGTTAATCAACGCAGTGACATGCGTAGCGACTATATCAGCTTCTCCCTCGTTTCCCTTGGAGAGTTCATCTTCAACTTCGAGCTCCATGACGTCACATCCGGTCGTGTCAATCAATAAAAGAGGGATGGTTGTTTCTTCTGTTTCTTGGACGTTGGGGAGATCCTTCAGTAGATGATGCTGCACGGAGCTATCTGCTTTGAGTTGGTTGTTGTATAGCTGCTCTGAAGACCACTTCATTATTGATTCATGCATTCTGTAATGATTATATTGAAAGAGAAAACTTTACCACAATAATATCATAGGGCACTTTCGTCCCATGATAGTACTATAATGTAAATATGATCTTTTATCAACACGACGTCTTCTATGAATTGTAATACTCCAGTTTCGAGATGTTATTTGTGCAGCCTTAACCGTGTGTACAAGAAGACAATCAAAGTTTATACTTGATTGAAGCTAAGCTTGCACAAAAGGGAATTCGAAACTGGAGTATTTGAGGATTATTTCATTGGGCATAACAAAGTAGGAGGACAATATTTCCCAGCATGCTTTGTTGTAAAATATGACGTCACTACATATCTATTCACCTGTACTGTGTAGTGAGCATGCGCACAACCTTGTCATCATATTGCTTCACTACTCTTTCCATCAGAGTGACGTCTAAACCTTTTTTAGCTGCCTCAGGTGAGACTATTGTCGGTGGAAGCTGATGGTGATCACCTGATAATATGCATCTAAATCAAAAACGAAAATTGTCTCCTTCACGGTTCCCTGCATCTTGAAAGGTAGCCATGCCTTTACATCGAAGTGAGACGACCGTTGAGCGTGCAATGATAGATACCTGTGAATAATTGTCTGTAGGTGTGAAATAATGTTTCTATCACTGCACGCTTAACGGTCGTCTCGCTTTGATGCACGGCTRCCTTTCAAGATGGCGCAGGGAACCGTGAAGAAGACTATTGAAGAGTGTGTCTTAATGAGGTATCCGTGAAGGAGGGACGTAAGTTACAGCAGAGCATCCGTCGTTATTATACGTAATAGCGAAACTTGCGTAACGTGAATCAGACGTCCAGCTCACCTTGGAGCCCTCAGTAATGGTATCCAGCAACTTGCTTCCAGAGCCTGAGCGGCCTCGTCGATGACAACCAAATCGAAATGATCCATGGGAAGGCGGCCTAGTGGACCATCATTCCCTGCGCTTGTGTTGGTTGCCAAGACAACTTCTGCACCAATCAGAACCTCTTTCATAGCTTTTTCTTCTCTCTGGCGTAATTCTTTTCGCAGTGTTTTGATTTCTTGTCTGAGATGCCGTCTCTCACTTGGTTCTTTGGACTTTCTTGATTTTGACTGATTTGAAAATAAAAAAAGAATATTAAGTCGATTTAATACTGATTTACTTTTTTCATTTACTTATCATGCATTCACTTACTCAGTCATTCATTTTTGCATGTTTTCATTTTTTATACCCACCAATGCCTTGTCAATATCCTTCCTAACATCTTGTATAATAGATGTTGAATCTGATGCTGTTAAGATGGCATCCAATGAATAATGCTGAATGGACGAAAGAAGTCTTGCTGGATGACCAAGCCTTACCACCTAAAAATAACCAAAAGCATTCGATGACTTCTCTCATCAATAAAACAATTCAAAAAATCAWGAAACCGTTTTGAAGGCTCCTCACTTGAAACCAAACAAACTCTGAACACTCAACAGAAACCTAGAAGCTTATTTTTAAATCTTTGGAGATTTGTTCGTGATTTTTCACAACAGCAGTTCAGTGGATGAGTGAATTTTGGTACTTTTGATTGACAGGAAGACTCACCCCAAGTGTCAGTTAAAGTCGAAGCAATTGATATCTTTTGTTTACCTTAGCTTTATTCTTGGCCAACTTCTCTACCAAATTATCCACAGCAATATTTGAAGGAGCACATGCTAGCACCTATAAATACATGTATTGTACCTATTAACTTTACACATAAAAAAACAATAATCAAAGTCTTCTATT